AATATTCAGGCCTCTAAACCGAATAAACGAGCGGACTACCAAGCAATAAGTTTCCCAGAAGCAAACCCATAGAGGACTCAAAGTCTGTAGAAGAGAGGCAAGGAACACTTGCACGTATAATTGCCTACGTTTACCACTGCTTTGTGTCGCTGTGATGTGATCCAGCTTTGTAGTACTGTAACTCGACAACATTACCCGGAAACGGAGAAACACTAACCAAACGAATAGGCGGCGACTGGCTCGGATGAATTATGTAACAACCACACATGTGTGTGAGGGTGTCCCAAACACGCCCACATCAAACAACCGATTAAGGTGACATGAACAGGTATTCGATAAACTGTTGCGAGAGAGGGAAATCAGGCTGCAGTCTGTTACAACTGCGGTTACTTCTTGCCAGTAACAAAATACCATCTAGCTTAACTGCCAAACGGTGAATAGAATCGGACCAGATGACAATGACGATCCTGGCTCTGCATCAACGCTGTCTATCAGATTCCACTACTGAACGTACCTTAAGGCGCAATAAGTGCGAACGGCTACTTTTCTTCCGATCTCTACGGCAGTTGTCAGACGCTATTATTGAAAACACAACCTCTGCCTTTTTATGACAGTTAACGATGCTTTTCCAGGAGCAATGACTCAGACCGCCTAGTACAGACTTGTATGAAGTTGCTTACATTTTATTAAAGGCGATATCCATACTTGTATCTACTATACTGAAATTTTACAAACCTTGTCGTTTCAGAGGCAACTGAAGGCGAGTTCATGCTGTGGTTAGGGATGACACCACCCTCCTCTTGCAATAACTCCGATGGCAACAATTCAGGGGCTAAATTGGCTTATCATCAAGGTGGAGAAGGCAGTGAAAGACATCCGAAAACATTCGGAGACCAATAGGTTCAAGAGATGGAGACAGCTATGGTCTTTTGGTAATACTTACTTCCACACACACACACACACAAGAGATGAATCAGCCTAGAAATGAAGAAATTTGAGCCTGTGCCCTCCTGAACAACGAATAGGCGACATCATTCGAGAGGCTAGCACACATCAGCCGGAGTGAATGTTTCGGGGCGTGATCGCGTGAGAACACAAAGTTGACAAAGCTGAATTGGCTCGATGGTATAGTTTATTCTCACAGTGAAGGTGACAGTTATTGAAAACAACAGAGGAACGTCAAGTTGTCAGGCTGATTTAAAATAACCCAAACATTTTTCTAACTTGTGTTCAAAAAGCTTGCATAAAGTCAATCCTCACTGATTTACAGCACAAGTATCTTTTCAGCTACTTCAAAGTCTGTACTCCACGTTATTAGGGCGTGACTCTTTTAAGAAGTGCGTAGTTCGACCTTCGACACGGAATAGACAAATAGTCCTGACTGAGTGGATAAGAGAAAATGGAGAGGTTTGCTCTGCTGAAGTGGTACATCTTAGTTCAAAATACTCACAAGGAAAGTGTGATGTGACGGTAAGTCGTGTCAGTACGTATTTCCCTTCCATTCAACGACAGGTGAGCTTCTTTCCCCGGTCTCGGATGCCTTCATTTCTTTCCACCCAAGGGCTTTAGCGCACCGCCACTACAATTGTGCTGGCACCCTAAAGCCCGGCGAAGCAAGGCCTCGTTTTTTTCAGCCTACTGACTCAAGCAATTTTTAGCTAGCACTTAGTTGCCTAACTCAGTGGGCATGGTCTGAGCCCTAAACTCCAATGAGCAATGGGCGAACCAGTCCACAACAAACATTTGTGAATCACAAGCCCTACAACACAGTGAGGTTGCCTGACAATTGTTTAAATTAAAAAATTCGCACTCTGTAACTTTGTGTGGTCATAAAGCTTTGGGTGGAAATGGGATTTTGAGCACCTTCCTCGGTCGGTGATAAATTAAGTGCGACCGAGCGGCCGACACCATATGGTGAGAGGGCCAACGCATTAAAATAGTGCCCTCAAAAGGTTTATTCTACCACAGAAATTTTGTGAAAGAAGCACATGCAAAAGATTGGCGTGAGTCGAACCGCAGGTTTTGGGAACAATTCAGACAAATTATGTCTGTGAAGTGCTGGTCGTGTGACTTCCACAACAGACACATTCATTTCATCATAATCCACTCCACTTTCAGATTGGATCGCCCGCATGGTTTAGGGGGTGCGGCAATAAGCCTGCAGAATTTCCTTGCAAACTCAGACGCATTACGTTCGCAATTCTAGCAAGTAAATTAGCCTGCACAATCAGGTAAAAAGTTGCCCACCAACCACATTTGAAGACCGGTGAACTCGAACAGGGCTGCACAGTCCTCTTCCACTTAGCACAAACAATTTTCAACGTTTCAAAAATCAATTTTGAGTTCACAATTTCAACACCATCAACAAACTGATAAAGTCCCCGTAAAAAGTAATACATAGAGGCGGGTTTTTAAACAGTACTGATACCACAATGTTTGCTTTGTTCTACCTAGGGAGGCAGCCCTGAAACGAATTGTGCGTTTTCAAGACAGTGAAATTGAGGCGCCAACTTGGGAGGTAGAAGTGACACCATTTGAGGCGAGTTGTTGCCAGGATGTTGACTCTCAAAAAGGAGAACTCGAAGAGGGAATCATGCGTCTCATTTCGACACATCTGTCCTCCGTTTGACGCTCCCAAATGGCGCTCGTAAGAAGAAGACGCATCAAAGATATGCGTATCCAAAGGTGGCAACTTGGAACTGCATTATTTACTACTCAGTGGTAAAAAGATGGACCTCTCTGTGCTCAGACCCGTCCGAGTGTCTTCTAAAAAACCACCTATGCCCCTACTCAAGCCACGAAGAATCGCAGAAAGAAAGATGTCGACATTTGAAAATTTGCGCCGCGAAGTGAGACCCCAAAGTCCCTCCTGTGGAAATCTTTTGTACCACTCTAACAGGAAAAAATTAAAAGAAGTTTGCATAAATTTTTCGATTGAGTTAACCAACTACGCTTGCGCCGAGTATCCTTCACTCTGACAGGATAAAGTTCACTCCTGCAAAAAATGACAGTGCAAAATATGTGTTCCCCTACGAAAATGTCCCGCAAAACAATCAAAAACGCGAGAACAAAGCTTTAAAAAGTGCAAGTTCTGAGCACCAACAGCATCTGATCTAAGCGCCAATAATATGAACCCCGCCTATGCTCCCGAAATTGCCAGTCTTCCAGCCTCTGCCACACTGAAACAGCGATGACATAAACCCTACAATTCATAATGCATGGCACCCCTTGAGACTCTTGAACCAAATAGCATCGAAAAAAAGATGCTGAATTCCTTTAAATTGCTGTGACCAATCAATAGAACTTAATGCTGTTGGACGATTAAAGCACGTAGGCTGCGGCTATCCATCGTTTCCTGAGACACCAGAATCAAAGGTCTTAGTTAAATCAAGTATCTTGTGATTTACTGCACAGACAGTGATGAACCA